CGTTGGAGGGGGTGGCTGGGAGGGGGTGGCTGCCCCCCCGGCATCTTTCTGCCCTTCTCCGCGCGGCTCTTCTGCTTCCACGCTGCTGACTGTAACAATTCAACATTTCCCAGTCGCCTCCCCAAAACGCGCGGGGGCCCGATCCCCACAGAGCCCCCCACGTTCCCGAGGGGCAGGTGCCCAGGAGGCTTTAAAGTCAGCGCTTCGCTGCTGGGGGATGGATGTCCATCGGCGCCCCGTGTCCGTTGCCGTCTGCCATCTGTCCCCTCCCCCTCTTCTCGGGCGCAGAGGGAGAAACCGGAGCCCAAATCGGCGGCCCTTACACTGATGCTGCTCTTTCTGCCCTCTGCTCTTTCTCCTCGCTTTTCCACCCGGGCTTTAACAGCTCTTGATTTCACCCCACAAATTCAGAAAGCCAAAGTCCCGCCTCTCCTGCTCCCGTCCCCGCCGCCTCCCGCCGCTCCAGCCTCCTCCTTCCTCCTCTCTCCTTCCCTTTGCACCAGCTTCTTCCTCGCCTCCTGGCTCCGGGAAAGGCAACGGCACCCACTGCCGCCGCCGGCCTCTTCCCTCTCCTCTCCCCGCCTGAGCCCCCTTCATCTTCCTCTCGCTTCCTGCGCCTCGCAGCCAGCGCCGCCCTGCGGCACCACTTAGAATAGTCCCCCTTAATTGCCTGGATTGTAATTAGTTCTACTGCCTTGGCAAGACTGGGGTAACGAGAGGACTGGGGTGACAAGAGAGGACTGGGATAACTAGGGAGGACTGGGATGAGTAGAGAGGACTGGGGTGACAAGAGAGGACTGGGATAACTAGAGAGGACTGGGGTGACAGGAGAGAGGATTGAGGTGACAAGAGAGGACTGGGGTGACTGGAGACGACAGTGGTGACAAGAGAGGACTGCGGTGACAAGACCGCATTAAAAATACCGTAACGAGGAGCACTAAAAGCCGGAGGGAAAATCCCCCCAGTACCAAAGTGCCCGCGATCGCTCACCGCCAAGCCCCGCGGCAGCCGAGGAGGCCGTTCTTCCTCCTGAATCCTCCCTCCCGGAGCTTTCGGCCCGAGATGCGAAGGAGCGGCAGGAGGGAGCGAAGCGGAGAGGTCAGGGGGGTCCATGGAGCTCTGCAGGAGCCCGGGAGAGGACGCTGGGCGGGGAGAGCTGCATCGGGGCTCTTTGCTGCCGCCTGCTCCTGGGAGATGTGGGGATGGGCGGGCTGGAAGCGGGACGAGGAGGAGAGAGAGAGAGAGAGAAAAGCAGAGAGACGAAGTCAAGTCTTGGTGGGGCTGAGCCCCAAGCCCCCGGCACGGAGCATCCATCCCTCCCCATCCTTTCCCTGCCAGTCCTGCAGGGAAAAATGCACCGGGAGCGAGTTCCAGGCAAAGCAGGTGCCAAATCTGGAGAAGACTTGGCTGAAGGCCTTGTGTCTCACTCAGAGCTGCCCAGGGCAAAGCACGGTCCCGGCAAGAACCCAGGGAGGGACCAGCCGCGGGGAGCAGGGTCCATCCCCAGGGGTGCGACGGGCAGAGGCAAGAAACGTGCCTTAGCGAGGAAAATGTTTATTAATTTATGTGCATAAGAATGTCCCGGACAAAGTGAGGGGTCTGGACACGGTTTTACAGGGGTTTTTATCGGGAATCATCAATTGCTTTATGACTGAAGGGACTTCCAAAGCCCATGGAGTCCAGCCCCCTGCCCTGGCAGGGACATCTCCAACCAGAGCAGGTCGCCCACAACCCCGTCCAACCTGCCCTGGGATGTTTCCAGAGCCGGGTCATCACCCCCCTCTCTGGGGAACCGGGGCCAGGGTCTCACCACCCCCAGCGGAAAACACTTCTTCCTCAGCCCCAGTCCCAATCTCAGCACGTTTTATCCTTTTGGAGCTTCCAGGCGCACTAATGACCGTGTCACTAATATCATACAGTAATAATATATAAAAATATACATGTATAATAAATTAACATAATAATAATGTAATAATATAATGTAATGTAATAATAAATAAGTAAAAATGAAATATAACAATAAAGCATGTCACTAATGCCCAACTCCCGCCCTGACAATGAGCAGTGATCTCTGAACCTGGCAAGGAAACTTCTTTTCTCCTTCTTTCTCTGGGGCTCCCCATATCCTGTGTCCGGATGCACTGCCCCGGAAGGCTGCCTCCTTCTCACTCTGGAGTGCTCATTAATCAGAGCGCTGGCAGGGCGGTATTAATGCCCTTCAGTGACTCACCCCTGTTGGCGGCGGTTTGTGCAGCGGAGGTGGACAGTGCGCCGGGACAGGTAGGGATGGGTCCTTTCTTCCCTCCCCCCGCCCCAGGAGAGGGAGGGGTAGGGATTCCCCTCATTCCCCCAATCTCACCAGTGCCCAGAGAGGGACGAAGGACCCCCACTTTCTTCCCCCAACCCCAGAGAGAGCCCGGGGACTCCCGCATCCCCTCCCGACCGTGGCCAGAGAGGAGCGGGGACCCCTGTTCTTTTCCCTCCCGCACGATCACACGCCTCCCTCCTCTGGCGGGGCCGGTGGCGCGTCCCCGAATGATGGGCCCCGTCCTGTCCTCGCCCCGACCCCCGCGGCACTGGGGGGTTCTCGTCCCCTCCCACCACGATGAACAGAGCAGGGGGCGTTGATCCGGGTCCAGGCCTGGCTTGAAACAGGCTTTGGCAGCTGTTGTGATCCCTTGGGCGCAAGGTGCTGCTTGTTGCGAGCCAAGTGATTTTAATTTCAGTGTCATGGGACAAGGGAACGGATTCCCGTGGGAGAGGAAGGGGATCTGTTCCAGCAGTGGGAACGTGGAGGAGCCCCTGAGTCTCCGGGAGGGAGGAGTGTCCCCCCATCCAGAGGTGCCTGGGGATACAGACCGAAGGATGCACAGAACAGTCCTGGGTGAGTGCAGGGCGCCCCCTGTGGGGAGCAGACCGTGTCCCCTGGCAGTGTCACCCCATAAGGACTGGGGCTGGCAAGTGTGAGGAGTCTGGCAGCTGTCTGGGAAAGGCCTCATATTCTGCTCGGTTCTCATTGGGGGAACTATAGCAGCCCCCCATCTCTATCTGGCAGCCCTCCTGCGGCGAGCACCCCACCAAGGGTGTGGGGTGACAGCCTTGTCCCTGCTCTGTGTGACTGTCCCTTGGTGCCAGCTGGGAATGGCCCCATGGCAGTTCCTGTGCCCAGGGAGGGGACTGAGAAGCTGCAGCTGAGTGTGTGTGTGGGGGTAAAAGGGTGTGGGGAGGGGTCCCTCCTGTGTTCCCTGGGCAGCTGGTGGTGGGGGTGGCAGGGATGAGAGGGGGACAGCACCATCCTCACCCTGAGGGGCTCCTTTTATCTCCAGGCAAGCTGTGTGTACTCCATCCAGTGTGTGTCCTGGTGGTGGCTGTGCTGGTGGCTCTGGTCCTGGCTCTGGCCGTGGCTGTTGCTGTGCTCTCAGGTAAGGGAGGAGCGGCTGCCTCCTTCCCTGCCCCACGGAGCTGTGTCCCCTGGTCCCTGCGCAGCCCAATCCTCTGCCCTTCTCCCCTTCCCTCTCCAGCAAGAACATGTGGAGGGGATCCAGCTGTGCCTGTGGCTCCGGTGCTGGCGTGTCCTGATGGCTGGGTCGGGTACCGCAATGTCTGCTACTACCTCTCGAGGGACCAGGGGAGCTGGGAGTGGAGCCAGGAGCAGTGCTCCTCGCGTGGGGCCTCGCTGGCCGTGCTGAGGAGGGAGTGGGAAATGGTGAGTGAGGGGCTGCTGTGGGTGCGTGGGGGTTTGGTGGAGTTCCTGGGTTGGGCACAGAGTGTGGGGTGGGAGCAGAGCTGTGTCAGAGCAGGACCGAGAGCACTGGGTGGGCTGGTGATCTCCTGCAGCAGCTCTGGAGCTTGTTGGAGCAGGCGTGGGGTGGGAGCTGCTGCCATCCCAGGGCTGGTGGTAGCCGTGTGGGGGCAGGGATACCTGTAAGGCTGGTGGGACCAGTGTGAGGCTGGGTCAGGGACTGGTGTGGGGCTGGCAGCAGCTCCTGACTCTTGGCTTCTCTCTTTTCTGCCCAGGAGTTTCTCTCACGCCTGAAGGGCAACATCGATTACTGGATTGGGCTGCGGAGACGGGGTGAGCACCTGGAGTGGGTGGACGGCAGCAGCTTCAACCAGACGTGAGTCCCGTTGGGAGCCGGGGCCGTGGGGAGACCGTCCTGTGGTGGGATGGGCAGGGTCCTGGTGGGAGGTGTGTGCTGGGGCTTTCCCTTGCAGGCAGCCCTTGTCTTCTCCTGGGGCTCGTGGGGACAGCCCTGACCCCCACAGTACCAGTGTTGTCTGTGCTGCTTGTTGCAGGATCCCAGTGGTGGGAGAAGAACCTTGTCTGTTCCTCAATGATCACGATCTCCTGAGTGCCTGAGAGACGGCACTATCTCTGCAGCAAACCTATGCTCCAGTGAGAACCACTTGACAGAAGTGGTGGAGAAAGGCCCTTCTCCATGGTGGGGACTCACAGCTTCCCCTCTTCCAGCAGCACAGAGTGGTGCAGGGATGTCCTTCCCTCAGCTGCTGCTCTGGTTGCTCCTGGTCTCAGCAGAAACTCGCTGCCAGCTCTCAGGAGATGAACCTGCAGGTCAGGAGCTGTGGTGGGAGCTGCCATGTGCCTGCCTGGGCTGGGACCCCCACCATGGAACTGGTTTCTCTTTCCTTCTCTCTGGGACCATCCCAGAAGTCTTCTTGTTTGTGCCACAAGTCATATTGTCCTAGTGTGAGGTAGAACAGAACCAACTTTCTCTTCAGTCATTTTATTTCTTAGCTTATCCTCTTCTGCTTTTGGAAATTACCAGCATATTTTGTAAGAAAATCCTGTTAATACTTAGAGCGATTAGATCAATGTTGTTAGTTCCTGCCAAGGGATGGGCTGCAGAGAGGCTCTTCCTTGTGTTCACTGCTCTAACAACCAAGGTAACTGTTGTTTTCCCCGCTGGAGGGTGGGAAGCAGAAGAGCGTAGAGGGGTCGCTGCTGTGGCAAGGAGCAGACAGGATGGTGGCCTCAAAACTGACCAAAGGGGTGTTCCATCCCATCTGCCCCATGCTCAGGGTAAAAGCTGAGGGATCAAAGGGTCAGCTCTTTCTTTGGTGGTTGACATTTGTGGAGGACCCTGTCTGTTTGTCTGCTCTTGATCCCCATCCCTGTGTTCCTGACTCCAGACTGGGTATCTAGTTCCTGTCCATGGCTGAGTCCAGTCTGGGACTTCCCGAGTGCTGCCAGTGCCTTCATCCTGGAACCTTGATACAACTTTGTATATATTGCATCTATTTTGTTATTTCTATTTTAATTTATTAAAGCATTTTCGTTTGTTCTCAACTTGTAAATCTCTTTCTCTCTCCTCCTCTTCTCCTTGGAGTGAGAGGTGGGGGAGAGCACCTGTCGTCATATCATTGGCCAATTCGGCTGAAATCACAACCCAGAAGGCTTCTTTTAAGCTGTGGCTTTGGTGCTGGAGCAGCTGCTTCCCCCCATGAGCTGGGCACAGAAAGCTCAGTGTGTGTCCCTGTTCCTGTGTGGGGCAGGGGGGGCCTCAGAGCCAGGGGGTGAAGTGGCCCTTGTGGGGCTCCCATGAGCATTAAAATGTAAAGGGAGATAGTGTTGCTGTTTTTTGTACTGTTTTTAAGAAACCATCATGACTTCCCCCGTGTGTTTCTCTCCTGCTGGAGGCAGCCCTGTCCCCTCCCCTCCTCGCCCCCGGGGCCACTTTCCATCCTGGCTTTGGGAGCCTTGGAGGACACGGCTGGGAGGGGGCAGCTGCCCCCCGGGGTCTTCTCCCTCCAGCCCTGGCAGCGTGGGGTGCTGGTGGTGGGAGGGGGTGTCTGGAGCCCCTTCCCATCCTCTCCTGTGCTTTCCTGCACATGGAGGGGGGGCTTCTGTGCCCCCTAAATCCTGACCCTTCGAGATGGGACTGCTGCCGGTGCCCCCCAGAAGCAGCCAAAAGCAGCCGTGGGCGTTGGTGACCTCAGCTGGCCGTGTCCCATGGCTGTGTGGGAGGGCCCCTTCCCAGTGCTCCCAGTCTGTCCCTCCTCCAGCGTCCCAGTAGCTTTGCCCTTCCCTGGGCGGGGGGTCGCCAGCACCGTCTCCCCTTCTCCTTGCAGCCCTTCTGCTACCGCAGCTGCCCCTTCTCTCACCAGGGACGGGGCAAAGAAAGAAAAACCCCCAGTTTCCTGCAAGATATTTGGGACAATTCAGAGCTATTTTGGGAGAATTCAAATACTTAAAGAGAATTCAGAGGCCCAACCCAGAGGAGGTGGAGTGGACCTGGCTGGCAGTGCTTTCCCAGCCCTGGTGCCCAAAGAGCCCCGAACTGGGGGGATTTTGTGCTGGTGCTGGGGGGAAACTGCATAGAGCTGCCACGCCTTGGCTTTGGCATTGGAACCTCTTCTCGTTTACACCCATCAGCTAATTAGGAGACTGTCCTCCTCTTCTTGATTGCGTTCTCCCTTCCAATTCAAGTTCTATTAGTTGGGGAATGACAGCTCATGCTCAGCGAGGAGGGGCTGAAGATGTGGAGGTGCGGGTCTGGGATTACAACGAGCCCAGTTCCCCGCAAGGACACGCACTTTCTTTTTAACAAACTTTATATCACCCAGCAACTTCGTAGTATTAGCGGAATGCCCTACATTGCCCCCGTTGGGTTCTCCCTGGCTTGTTGCTCTCGACACCCCGTTACAAAGCGCCTCTTGCATTTGGAGCCTCTTGCTCCCAACAGGAGCTGGGAGCGTTTCTGGGAATGGCCGGGCGGTGTCGCTCGTTAGCGAAACCCTTGCCTGAAGCTATCAAGGAGCTTTGGAAAGCTCCTGGGGCGGACTCGCGTCTTTTTGCTCTCTGCACCCCGCTACAACGCGCCTCTTGCCTCCCGCGGGGGTGTCGAGAGGGGCCGCGCCTCGCCCGCCCCCCCCGGTGCGGGTTCCAGTGACCCGCAGCGGCGGCCGTCCCTCGGGGCAGCTCTTTCGGTGACACGGGCAGGGACCAGCCCCCGGCGCACCTCTAATCCCCGCCTCCCACTCAGCTACTTTCAGAAGGTAGAATGTACTTTTCCAAAGGTAATATCTCTTGTAGAAAGTAGAATCGCTCATTCCGTCAAATCAAGAGCTGTAAAAGGTCCCAAGACCCTGTGAAATCAGACCCTGGGGATAAGCAATCAATGCCCCGCTAATGAACAGCCCCTCGCAGAAGAGCCGGAGGCTGAGAAGAAGGAACATCCCACCGCAGGAGGCGCCGAAACCCGCGGAAAACCGGAGAGCTGCTGGGGGAGGCATCAAGTCAAAGCAAATCTGTAGGAACTCGGGGGAAAGGGAAAGGTGGCGGTGGGAGATCGCGACCCACAACTCAATGGGAGACCGAACTGGGCAACGACTTGCTCTGCTCCCCCCACCCCCGGTACTGGAGCCTGGGCACCTCAATTCATAGCATCATCGACTGGTTGGAGTTGGAAGGGACCTTAAAGATCATGGAGTTCCAACCCCCCAGTCCAACCTCCAATGAAAG